AAAAACAGGGGACAGAAAACACCAGGATTGTGGTCTGAAACTCCCCCAAACTCATTTTGAACTCTCTTGTTACAACACCTGACAAGACAATAAAAAAAATAATTTGTTAGAAAATAACCAACTGAATTTTTTTTTAACTTAAAATATCAGAACTCAAACTACATAAACATTAAAAGAAAATCAAAATATTATCAAAGAAAAAAAAACAACAAATAACATATGAAACTAAACATGCTTAATTTAAAGTCTCAAGCTAGACTTTTGTTACTGTGTTTTACATGGCAGCATGGTCACAAAGAGATATGGAAATGTTGGCTCTCTCTATTGGTTCTCCAAAATAATGTTTCAACCTTTGCCCATTTAGAGTGAATTTTCTCCCATCTTTTTCATTGGTAATTTCCACAGCTCCATGAACATGCACTTTAGTGATTTTGAATGGGCCAGACCATCTAGATTTCAATTTTTCAGGGAAGAATTTTAATCTAGAATTGAAAAGTAGAACCTGTTGTCCTACTTCAAACTTCCTTTCTAAAATCTGTCTATCATGCCACCTCTTTATTTTATTTTTCTTTATAGAGCTTGGCATTCTTATATGTATTTAGTCTAAATTCATCCAACTCATTGAGTTGGAGGAGCCTATTTTCTCCTAAAGCAGTGGCATCTAAATTCAGCTGTGTGGTGGCCCAGTAAGCTTTATATTCGAGCTCTAATGGAAGTTGGCAAATTTTGCCAAAAATCAGCTTGTATGGAGAGCATCTTAAAGGTGTCCTATATGCTGTCCTATAGGCCCATAGAGAATCATCTAACTTAAGGGACTAATCCTTCCTTGAAGGATTTACAACTTTCTCTAGGATCCTTTTAACTTCTCTATTTGTAACCTCTACCTGCCCACTGGTTTGTGGATGGTAAGCAGTAGGAACCTTGTGCTTGACTCCATACCTAGCTAGGAGAGCTTCAAATTGTCTGCTAGCAAAATGCTTTCCCCCATCACTTATAATAGCTCTTGGGGTCCCAAATCTTGTAAAAATATTCTTTTTCAGGAATTTAATTACCACTTTGGAGTCATTTGTGGGTAAGGCAGCAGCCTCCACCCATTTGGAAACATAATTTACCGCAACCAATATATATTAGTTTCCGAAAGATGGTAGAAATGGGCCCTTAAAGTTTATGCCCCATACATCAAATAGTTCAACCTCTAAAATAGGTTTTAAGGGCATTTCATGCCTCATGAAAATATTTCCAAGTCTTTGGCATCTATCACACTTGTGAATATAGACATTGGAATCCTTAAACAAAGTTGGCCAATAAAGGCCAGACTGCAGCACTTTTGTTGCTATCCTCATGCCACCAAAGTGACCACCATATGATGAGTCATGACATTGCCTTAAAATCTCCTCTTTTCTTCCTCTAAAATACATCTCCTGATGATCTGGTCAGCATATATCTCAAACATGTAAGGTTCATCCCATAGGTAAAATCTGGTGTCATGTATCTGTTGATAACTTAACTCCTTAGGCAGCACCCCACTAACTAAATAGTTAGCTATGTCAGCATACAGGTTGTGCTAGTGGAAACCAGAAATAGTTGCTCATCAGGGAAGGTTTTTTTTAAAGCTTGCTCAACCACTCTTTCACATTGTTGCCCTTTATTTAGCCTAGACAAGTGATCAGCCACTTGGATTTTTGATCCTTTCCTATCTTTTATTTCCATGTCAAACTCTTGTAGGAGAAGGACCCACCTAATGAGCCTAGGCTTTGAATCTTTCTTTCCTACCAAGTATTTAATGGCTGAATGGTCAGTGTACACAACGACCTTAGTGCCTACCAAATATGACCTGAATTTGTTAAAGACAAACACTACAGCCAACAGTTCCTTTTCAGTTACTGTGTAGTTAAGTTGGGCTCCATTCAAAGTTCTGCTAGCATAATAAATAGAGTGAAAAACTCTATTTTTTCTTTGTCCTAACACAGCCCCCACTTCCCAATCACTTGCATCACACATTAACTCAAAGGGTAGTGACTAGTCAGGGGCTATTATTATTGGAGCAGAAATCAGTTTCTATTTTAGCTCCTCAAAGGATTTAAGACAAGCCTCATCAAACTGAAAAGGAGTGTTGGTTTCAAGTAGGTGACTAAGAGGCTTAGAAATTTTTGAAAAATCCTTTATGAACCTCCTATAAAAACCAGCATGCCCAAGGAAGGATCTAATACCTTTTATACTAACAAGGGGAGGCAACTTTTCAATCTGGTCTATTTTTGCTTTATCAACCTCTAAACCAGCCTTAGAAATCCTATGTCCTAGAACTATGCCTTCCCTCACCATAAAGTGACACTTCTCCTAATTTAAAACCAAATTTGTCTCTTCACACCTTTCTAGCACTTTTCCCACATTTTCTAAACACTTTTCATAAGAATCCCCAAAGACACTGAAGTCATCCATAAAGACTTTCACAAATTGCTCTATCATATCATTGAAAATAGCCATCATGTACCTTTGAAAGGTGGCTGGTGCATTGCATAGCCCAAAAGGCATCCTCCTAAAGGCAAAAATGTCACAGGGACAAGTGAAAATGGTCTTTGGCTGGTCTTCAGGGGCTAAGGCTATTTGATTATAGCCTGAATAGCCATATAGAAAACAGTAAAATTCCCTACCAGCCAATCTATCCAACATCTGATCTATGAAGGAGAGGGAAAAATGATCCTTTCTAGTGGCTTTGTTGAGTTTTCTGTAATCGATAGAGATCCTCCAACCAGTGATAGTTCTAGTGGGTATCAATTCCTTCTTTCCATTTTCTACAACAGCGATCCCACCTTTTTTTGGACACATTGCACTGGGCTGACCCAGTTACTGTCAGAAACAGGGTATATAACACCTGCATCTAGCCACTTAATGATTTCTTTCTTCACTACCTCCTTCATTATTGGGTTAAGTCTTCACTGCTGCTCCCTAAAGCTGCTGTTTAGGTCTGTCAAAAGGATTTTGTGCATGCAATAAGAGGGGCTAATACCTTTAATATCTACCAAAGACCAACCTATAACCCTCTTAAATATTTTTAGAACAGCCAACAACTGTTCTTCCTCTAAAATAGTGAGCAAATTAGACACAATGACTGGCAAAGTGTCTTTTTCTCCTAAGTAAGCATACCTAAGATGATTAGGCAGAGGCTTAAGCTCTAAAATAAGAGGTTCTTCAATTGAAGGTTTGGGAATTTTAAACCCTCTTTTGGTAAGTTCCAGGGACTCAAAGTTCTTGTTTTTCCAATTGGGTATGGACCTAGTGTTCAACCATTTGGACCATTCTTCTACATCTATCCTATTAACCTCCTAGATCTCACACACTTTGGTTTCTAATGGGTCCACCGATTCTGCCTCCATAATCCTTCGCTGGACAGCATGGTCAATTACATCTATCATTGAACATTCCTCTAACTCTCTTGGGCACTTCAAGGCTTTTAAAATGTTATATTTCACTTGCTCCCCATTAACATTCATGGATAAATCTCCCTCCTTAAGATTTATCACAGCCTCACCACTGGCTAAGAAAGCTCTCCCTAAAATTATAGGTACTTCCCTATCCTCCTCATAGTCCAAAATGATGAAGACAACTGGTAGGATAAACTTATCCACCTTGACCAAAACATTTTCTACCTTCCCTTCAGGATATACTAGGGACCTATCTGCTAATTGTAAGGTAACAATTATGGGGTTGGGTTCTCCTACCTTTAGCTTCTTAAAAACACTCATAGGCATCAAATTTATATTGGCACCTAAGTCACATAATGCTCTGCCTATGTAATGGTCTCCTATAATGCAAAGGATTGTAAAACTTCCTGGATCTCCTAATTTGGAAGGTATCTTGCTAAACAAATATTGATTGCTCTCTTGTGTAAGAGCAACAATCTTAGACTCCTCTAACCTCCTTTTCCTAGAATGTATCTCCTTCATAAACTCCACATAATTGAGCATATGCTCTAAAGAATCTACAAATGGAATATTGATGTGAAGTTGTTTTAGGAGGTCAAGAAACTTCCTAAATTGGTTATCCTACTTCTGTTTTTGCAACCTTTAGGGAAAGGGTGGTGGGGGTCTATTATTGAAAACATGTGTCTCAACAGTGGGCTTAGACGCTTGACTTTTTGGAGGTGGATTTTCTTTTGGAATAGTCCTTAAAGAAGGGTCTATTTGGATATGAATTTTTAGTTCAACCAGAATAGGCAAAGGACCATTATTCTCGGCCTCTTAGTGGCTATCGTGGACTATGGGTGGCTGACCAGGTTCTAAATTTCTCTCTTGGTGTGAATCTTTTTCTTTCTGAAGTTTTTCTGCTTATCTTTTCTTTAAGGTTGAAGGTTTAACCACAGCTTTTGGTTGGTTTATAGATCTTCCATTCCTAAGCTCTATCATTTGACATTGTTCATTGTTTCTCCTAGGCTCTTTAGTATTTCTAGGCAAAGTACCAGGGGGTTTGCTATTTAGAGCATTGGCTAAATGGCCTAGCTGCCCATCCAACCCATAGTCTATTGGGGCCCTTGGTTTTGCCTCTAGGAATTGTTGAAAAAATTATTCTGGTTCCTATTGTGGTTTCCTACACAGTAAATAGACTATGGGTTGGATGGGCAGCTATCAAACAAATGGGGCCCACTGCAGAAAACACAAGATTCACTTGAGTTCACATCATTGACTTGAGGCTGGGACAGTTGAACTTGAGGCTGAGCTAATCTTGCTTCAATTGCTTGACCTTGGTTTCTAACTAAGGTGGATAGTGCATCAAACTTAGCTAACAAGGCTGTTACAGAATCTACCTCATGCAAACCAGCCACTCTCCTTGGCTGATTTCTCTCAACAGGCCATTGAGAATAATTCTTAGTCATTTGTTCCAACAACTAATGGGCTTGATTAAATGACCTGGACATAAACATTCCATTAGCATCAGAATATGCTAAAGCTCTATTTTGGGTGCTAAGGCTATTGTACAAAGTTTGTAACAGTGCCCAAGAAGGTAAGCCATGGTTGGGGCATTGCTTTAGGAGAATTTTAAACCTCTCCCATACATCCACTAGAGTCTCACCATCCTTCTGCATGAAGTTAGTGATCTCACCTCTGGTTTGTACTATCTTATTGGATGGGAAAAACTTCATGATGAATTTCTCAGCTAAGGCATGCCAAGTGGTTATGGAATTGGATGGAAGGGAGTTCAACCACTCTTTAGCTTTGTCAGCCGGTGAGTGAGGGAAAAACTATTATCTTAGCACATCATCTGAGATATTTGGATTCCTAAAAGTATTAGCAACTTCAATGAAATTCAGAAGATACTTATGGGGATCTTCCAACAGTAGACCATGGAACTGCTCCATATTTTGGAGCATTGTGAACATAACAAGCTATAATTTGAAAGGTACTCCATTAACAGGTTGTGCAATACTTGGTTCAAGCTCATCCAACACAGGAATGATAAAGTCCATCATGGACCTATCATTGTCATCCATTGGCTAGTTCTCTATCGTCTCAGGTCGTTCCTCTTTCCCATTTCCATTTCCTAAATTTTTCATTTCTCCAAAATTAGGATTTGGAATCTGCCTGTTTGCTCTTTGGATTCTCCTCCTAGTCCTAAAAGTCCTCTCTAGTTCAGGATCAAAAGCTTCTACAAAAGGGTGTGGATATGCACTCATGCACCCTTTTTGAACGAAAAAAAATTAAACCTAACTAGCTTAAACAAACAAGATCTCTATCAGCACTTTCTACAAAAATAAAAATAAATAAAAAACAAACAGAATAGAAAATTTAACACTTGAAATAACAACTAACTCAGGAATACAATAAGCATATCAAAAAATCTATATATATAAAGGAAACCCATTCTTTGGAAACTTTGATGATGTGTCACTCCCTCCTTCAGTCTCACATTTGTATTCACACTACATGTCATTTGAAAACTTTCCTTCTTTAGGAAAAAAGTTGAAATAAACAAATATAAAATAAACTCAAAATTTGGAAATAAATTAAATAGAAAATTATGTGAATAATTTTTGGTGGCAGATAGGGGTGAAACTGGGTCAGGCCGACCCACAGGGGCCTACGGCTCAGCCTATGTCAGGCCAGACCTGACCCAGTATATTTCGTAAAATAGGCCGAGCTTGGATTTTGAAAAAGTTTGTTTAATAAAAAGGTCGTAGGTCCACTTTCACATGGCCTGACCTATAAGCCTACAGACCGACCTATATTGTACTATTTATTTTAAATAAAATAAAATAAAATAAGTATGCCTTGAAGAAAAAAATAAAATATATAAATTTAATCAATTGTAATTATTTATAACTTAATTATATTCGATTATATTTTAATAGAAATCTGAATTTATTTATTATGTAGGAGGAACTAACATCTCAGCATGTTAGATTGTGTATATGAATATATTAAAAGATTTTTGGGAGAGCTTATACTTACTACAAGTACCATGATATGTTTGTTGGATTCATGTAGTTATTTTAATTTACATAGTATGGATTTGTTTGTTGGATATGATGAAATATGTGTTATTTAGTTTGAACATTTTGATTTTGAAAGTGACTTAAATGCAATATGTGTGAGTTTTGTTGTGATTCATGATTCTGTTTGGACGTTGAAATTATGATTTTTGGTTTAGTAACATAATTTAAGTATTTTGTAAAGTTGATTCATGATTCTGCTTGGAAGCAAAAAATTAACAGGCCAACAGGTTAGGCTAGGCCATTAGTTTTTTAATAAACGGGTCAAAACAGGCTAACAGTTAGACTTGTACTAGGCTTGGACCAGACCAAATTAAAATTTTTTGGCGTAGGCTTTGACTTTTCGGGGAAAAGCTTGGCACAACCCAGCCCACTTTCACCCCTAGTGGTAGACAACTCATTTAATATCCCACTGTTTTCTACATTGAAATTTTCAAATTAATAATAACTCAACTCTTTTAAATTTTGAATTTATGTTTAAATTTAAATTTTGAATTTGAATTTTTAACTTTGTAATGGTGGGAAAACTTTTGAAATTTTTTTGATGACAAACAGCTCATTTAATGTCCCGCTACTTTTCTTTTGTTGTATATTATGAGTAAAAAAGATCTCTACTTTTCTTTTATTGTATATTCCACTATTTTTTGCATGGATAATTGTTAGCCCTATCAATGCTGCATAAAAAAAAATTAAAAAAAAATTTTAAAATAAAAAAATTATTTATATTGTAAAATAAATTCGAAATTTGGAAATAAATTAAATGGAAAATTATGTGAACAATTTTTTGTGGCAGACAACTCATTTAATATCTCACTGCTTTCTACATTGGAATTTCTAAATTAATAATAATTCAACTCTTTTAAATTTCGAATTTATGTTTAAATTTAAATTTTAAATTTGAATTTTTAACTTTGTAATGGTGGAAAAACTTTTGGAAAATTTTTGGTGGCAGACAACTCATTTAATGTCCCACTACTTTTCTTTTGTTGTATATTATGAGTAAAAAAGATCTTTACTTTTTTTTTTTTGTATATCCCACTACTTTTTGCATGGGTAATTGTTAGCACTATTAATGTTGCATAAAAAAACAAAAATATTAAAAAATATTGTAAAATAATAATTATTTCATGTATAAATAGAATATGTGTTGCTGGATCTTTTTATTTGGTAATCAGCTGTGCATATATTTTTCTCTTCTTTGTCTGTTTATCTTCTTCATCTTCTCAAGTTGTTCTTCTATTAGATGAACATGTAATATTTTTCGTTTTTTTTGGCAGGTCAGTTGTAGAGCAAAGTTGACGAGATGATTTTGAATTCTATTTTTTTACAACGAAGAGGCTATCCAGATATTCCTACTAAAAAGTGTGAAAAATCATTTTCACGTCCCTAAGTTATTATTCTTTAAAGCCATATCTTTTTGTTTGACATTATGCATTTTTTTTTTCTAACAGATTTTTGCGGCTTATGACATGAAACATCTTCGTGTCCCAAAGATGTATGGCTTGGAGCTTTTCCTTCAGATTCTGAGAGATATTTTGTTCCAAAGTAGTGTCTTTTTCCTCTCTAACTGCTGAATATGAACAATGAAAAGAGATTTAGGTAATGTAAGGGAGCCACTGCTCCAGTGGATATATACCTTTGTATTCCATTTATACAAAAATAATAAACAAAAAATGTTTATTGTTTTTAAACTTTTAATTACTGTAGAAGTATGCATTATTGTTTTAATTTTTTGGTTAAATTTCAAATAACCTATTTTAATTTTGACTTCAAAAAATAATTTTGTGTGATTCTAACTAATGCTGATAATTGAATATGTTTGTTTTTAATTCTGAAATTTAATTTTACATTGTGATGAATAAACTCATTATGTTATAAAATATTTGGTATGAATTTCACTTGGTTTGCTGGATTATATATTAGTATTATAAACTAAAAGAAGCGATGAAATTTAAAAAGTTAGTTATAATTATCATTATCATTTTGAATTAGTGATATAATCTATGTATATCAATTAATAAAAAGTGTCTGTAATATTGACATTGATAACTTAAATGTTTATATTCTTTTTTTTTTGGTAAACAATGTTTATATTCTTAATTATAAGATGATATGTTACGTGTATACAACAATAAAAATGTTATTATATTTGTACCCAAAAAAATGTTATTATATTAGCTAAAATTTGTTATTATTTTAAAATTAAGATAATATGATACATATTTATATGTAAAATTAATTTATATTGTTATCCAAAAAAAAAAATTTAATTTATATATATTTATGATATTTATTTTGTAATTTATTTTAATCCTCCGAATACCCAAATATTACCAAAAGAAATAAACAAATAATCGTACGTTGGTTTTGATTATGTGAATTCATGAAAACCTTGATGGTGTCCATGTATAAAGAATTTTAGGTGAGGAATGTATTTTTTGAGTAGATTTAAATTACAGATGTTACATGACTTAGTTGGACACTAATATCCTGAATTTTTCAAAAAATCATAATAATCTTAATAAGGTATTTAATTAATCTAAAATTGAGAATTTCAAGTTCCACCATATCGAGGAACTTCTGATATTCTTCGTCGTTTCTCTGTGATACTTCGCAGCATGACCGCCCCAATTTTGACTATCAATCTCTAGAATGGATCAATTATTAAATTCGTCAGTTTGCATCCACTTTTTACTTTAAGCGCTATGTTCCTTTTCTAGCGTTTTTATAAATGAATTAGAAAGGAATATAATATATGAATTTTAATTATATATAAAATATTTGATTTATAATTAAATTAAAATTTCGCCATTCTTATTTTATAATTCAATTCCTAAATCTGATTTTAATTTTTGTAAATATAAATTTATAAAATCTCAAATATTAAGGACACAAATCCTTGCAAAAAGATAATTATTTATTCTCATTAATCTATGAGAAAAGTATTTCTCGAGTCACTGGAGCTAATTTTATCTCCAATGAGCTCAAAATGACGTCGTTTGGATTATAAAATTAAAAAATTATAATTATAAAGACTTATATAACCCCTCCAATATATTAAAATTACAAAAATACATTGATTTTCGTTCCAAAACGATGTCGTTTTAGGTTCACTGGAGACAACTTATCACCATTGACTGATGAAATCGTTTACCCTTAATCTATATATTAAAAGGGAATGTCATTATTTGGAAGTTTGCTGACGTGTCACTTTCTTCTTCAATTTCAAGTTTGTGTTTACACTAGAAATCATTTAAAATCTTTCCTCATTTAGTAAATTTGCAGAATTCGAAACTTAAACTTCATTAGGTGAGAAATGAGTTCAACATTAATTGTTGGTAGACATCTGTATTAATATCCCACTACTTTTTAAAATTTGAATTTTAAACTTGATATAGGTGGAAAATCTCGAACTTAAAACTTGATATATGTAGAAAAAGAGTTCAATATTTTTCTGTGGCAAACATTTATGTATGTTTCTTACTACTTTATGTATAGAAAATTGTTAAGCCTATTAATAATATTAATTATTCTATCTATTAAGTGAAAAAATATTTAATATTCATAATTTAAACTTTTTAAATTTAAATTTGGAACTTGACATGAGGGAAAAGAGTTCCGC